ATACAACCTATGAAATCCATAAACTGCAATAGAGAACTACAGAATTCCTATCCTAAAAATACCTGATAAAAAGTTGCTTTACAAAAGGAAGCAGTGATTTTTGTACTGGACAACTTGCAGCAAACTTTAATCTTTTAATCCAGAGAGACTAGAAATATCAGTGTAACAAAATCACCATCTCTTTCTTTCTTTCTTTCTTTCTTTCTTTCTTTCTTTCTTTCTTTCTTTCTTTCTTTCTTTCTTTCTTTCTTTCTTTCTTTCTTTCTTTCTTTCTTTCTTTCTTTCTTTCTTTCTTTCTTTCTTTCTTTCTTTCTTTCTTTCTTTCTTTCTTTCTTTCTTTCTTTCTTTCTTTCTTTCTTTCTTTCTTTCTTTCTTTCTTTCTTTCTTTCTTTCTTTCTTTCTTTCTTTCTTTCTTTCTTTCTTTCTTTCTCCTCAAGCAGCAAGAAATTTGGCATTCTGATTGCAAATGCCTTTAAATGAACCCTGGGCTCACCACATGCAGTGGTGGTGGGTAGGTGGCAAAGTCCATGATGGTTTGTTTTTCCTTGGGCTTTCCATCCCCAGGAAGTGAAATCTCCACTGATGAAACAGAATTCTTCAAGGGGAAATGCATGACAAGCCCTTCTGCAGGGCTCCCGTGCAGGCAGGGATATTTCAGCAGCCCTTGAGCTGTGAAGTACCATGGCCAGCTGGCAGATGGAAGTGTTCACCAGCACTGAAACCAGAGCTTGAGAAGTGCAGGTCTCGCTTAGCCCTGCAGGTGGTTAAAGGCTCGTGCCTTCAGCGCAAGTATTCTCCCAAATACATGGACAGGTACATGCCATTGGCAGCCACTGGCCACATCCCATGTAACTCCCTGTGATGGATGGGGCCACTTGCTGCCAGCCCATGACAGCACCCTGAGTCTAAGAGCTGATACTAGCTCTCCATCCTCTCTGGACACAATTTGCTTTTGCAGTGGGAAATGTAAATGGTGATGGTGATGATGATAAATGATGGTGATGCTCATGGCAGTTGTTTTGTTTCTTTACCTGACTACTTACTTCTGTCTTCTGTTTTGCAGGCTAAGTGTTGAACACAGCAGTCTACACATCTCTATTATTGTGATTGCCCTTAAGCTTACAGGCTTTTTAGAAGGGTGAAGAGCTTCAGGGAAGCTGGCAGCGCTCCTGTCATCAGCTGGTAGTCATAAATGCAATGCTTTAACCACAACATAATGGAGCAGCTTGGACCATAAACAAGCTGTCTGGATACCTACAAGTTTCTCAAAGGAAACTGTTTTCTTCGCAAACTGTGGACAACCTGCTGTTCTTCCAATATTCAGAGCACCAAAATCATGACATTTTCACCAAAACATTCACCAGAATCTGGCTTGAGAAATACAAGGCCTTGCCCCAAAAGGAAGGCCTGTTTCTTTTTCCCTCTACAACACACACTGACCATAAGAACTGCAAAGATTATGGCTTTAGCACATTGCCCCCAAATCAATGACTACGGGGAGATGAACGAGCTCCTTACTGCTCCAACAAAGAGCCTTATTTCTACCTGTTAAACAACATCTCTACCAGCACAGTGCAGACAGAAGAGCAGACAGACTATATTTAAATCAATCAAAACTTTACTTAAATTGAATTCAGCAAAAATGAAACTATATAGAGGAAGAACTATATACATAAACAAGTTTCTACGCTGCCTATTGGCCAAGATCCATCTAGCACTCATAAATAAATGGTATGGTATCGTTCTGGTGTGAGTGCCATTCTGCAGCTTGGGCACATGTAAGAAGCCTCAAGAGCAATAGGGAGGCATCTACTGCAGAAGACATGGCCACATTGGGTTGCCACAAGCTGTCGTCCGCGTTGAATAAACTGGAAGAAAGAAAACGACAACATTTATTGGGAGGAGAGAATTTGATTTTGCTGCTCAGCTGGCACCAGGCTCTATTTTGAGCATCTAGAATTAGAATTACGAGGGACCCACAGATCTGCCAGTGCCATCTTGGCAAGGGCTTCTGCCTCTGCATTCACCAAGAAGTGACTTGTGGAGCTTCACAGCAAGGGCTGTGCTTCCAGCCAGCTGCCCACAGCATCCCACATCATCCAACTGACTTGTGCAGCTCCCCCCTTCTGGCTTTCTCCTCCCACAAAGCAGACAGGACAACAACAGGTGGATCCTTACCTCTGAGTAAAATTCCATGCAAATTGGACACCTAATAACAACTCCTTGCTGTGCACTGGAGGAAGGAGAACTAGAAAGAACATGCAGCTGTTAGTATAACCACACTTCAGTGGTTATTGATACATAAAATCTCACATATTCATACAACTGCACTGACTAGCCATGACACATTTCCTTTGAAGAACCCTGCTGTCTTTAAGTCTCTGTTTGCTGCATTTAATGAGGATTTGGGGTCTCCCTGCCCTGAGGGAAAGGGTGTCCTGGTTTTCACTAGGAGAAAGGTGCAGTCAGTCACCTTGCTCTGGGCTTTGAAGTAGCAGCAGCCTCTAGCACTGGCCAGTTTGTGTATGGCAACCTTGACTTCCAGCAGGTCATCAGTAAGAGCTTTGTAACTACAGCATCAGCTGTCCTCTGGGAATTATTCACCCCACAATATTCATTCCAGGACCCAGTTTTAAACTACAGAGTAATACAGCTCTGGCAAGATCCAGCCCTGGGAAGGAGCCTTTGGTCAATTTTAAATGCTGCAGCACTGAGCTATTTCAGCCTTAACTAAACAGAGCAGTTACATTCAGTAACCGAAAAGCTTGAGACTGGAGGAACAAAGTATTCCTGTTTTATATTACCCAGGGGCTGGGATTTGTTCACCTACAGACTTAACAACCAAAACTTAAGCATCTACAAATTCATTGGCAAAATGCCCAATTAAGGTTTAGAATCGTAGAAGCCCTTTAGGTGGCATATTTAAGACCTGACACCTAAAAGTTTCACAGTCAAGTTGTCTCCTACATTGCCTTTGCAAAAGGCTCAAAGCACACCAGCTTTATTAAAACCTGTGTCTTTCCCCCAACCCCAAAAACACCACTTTGAAAACCTTATACCATAATTCCAATGTTCTTTGTCTTCCCTAGTGACAAGGACACTTGGTTAAATTGAATCAGTCTAATGAACTGTATCTTTCTTATCCTGATGGAGTGCCCCTACAGCAGGACTTTCCTGTTCCTCTGCAGAATGGGAATTTTACTGTGCAGGCACCCAACTTGAACTGCAAGATTTCCATCACAGAAGCAAGCAAATCTGGGCCTGTGACATCCAGCACTGGCCATAAAAGCATGACCTCCACAACTGCCTGTGTGCAAGTCTACCTTGGGAAGAAGGGCTCCAGCTCCAGGAGAAAGGCAACCAGCTGGCACCATTCCAGCAGGGAATTTTTGCTGGAATTTGCCCAGCTGCTGCCTGCTGGCCCCGTGATGCCAAGCCCCAGTAATTACAATGGAAGCATTTCCATATCTAACATCACTACTCCAGCTTGTCAGAAAAAGCAAATGCAATACTGAGCTATGGCCTGTGACCAATCCCCATTCCTTGCCATACTCCCACACTCGTCTCTAAGGCTCTGTGCAAAGATGCACATCTGCTTTGGGCTGCTTTTTTCTCCCAACATTCAAATGGTATCATGTGATCATCCTGCAACATGGGAGAAGGAGGGAAATGAGTAGAGTAGGGAAGGCGTCAAAGATAAATCAGGCATAGCACTAAGTCCTACACAGAAGAGAAAGAAAGGCACAGAATTCTGTGTGTGGTGGGGCATGAGGCATACATACTCTGGATTTTGAGTGTCCTCCTCCTCTGCTCCCTGTTCTTCAGGGGCTGAGTCAGCCACAGGTGCATCATTAGCTCCTGTTCCATTACCAGGGCCATCCACCTGTTCCTGGCTGTTTGATGTAACATTTCTCCTTTCCTGTCCATGCACTGTAATTTAATTTTCAGAAGTTAGATCTATTATTCTCTCTCTCCCCGGAGCTACCTTTGAAACAAGTTATATAAATAGTCAGCAATGGTTCCTATTTTAAATGGACTCTGTTCAGCTGGGTTAAAAACAATCCTAAAAAAACTACTTTCCCAAATAGTAAGGCTGAACCCTTCCAGACATTGTGACTATTCTACTACAAACCAACACACTTGGTCTATTAAATCACAGTTCTTTGTTTCTTGCTAAAGGCAGTTTCAATCCCTGCTTCTTGAGTTTCTTGAAAACAAAACAAAAGCAAACAAATGAACAAAAAAAAGAACCCCAAAAATAACAGTTACGTTTAAGACAATTCCATTATCAACCGTAAAACATCAACTCACCTTCAAGAAGCTTCCATCGATGCACATGGGAAGGGAGAGAAAAGAAGATACAATTAGATTTGGTGAGGCCCCTGGTGCTGCACACAAACCCCAGCTCAGAAAGCAGTTACAGCAGAGGAGGGGAGCAAGGCTAGGCTGTCACCCTCTAAGTTTGCCTAAGAGCATCAAAGCAGTAGCACAAAGAGCCGCTGCCCCGAAAAGCAAAGAAGTGGGTGCTGCTGATTCTGCTCTCATTGCTGCAGCAGGGGACAAACAGAGGCAGCTTAGGGACCCCCTGAACGCCCTCCTCCCCTGTTCCTGTTCCCTATTTGGATTTGATCTGGAGCTGTTTCTTTCCCTTTCTCCCTCAAATGGGAAAATTAAAATGTGATATCCATAAACACTCAGTATAAGCTGAACCACTGCTGAAGAAAGGAAACTGCAACAGCCATTGGAAGTAAAGAATTCCAGTTTGCTGCTCTGTTGGCACCAGGCAAACTGGACTTGGACTAAGTGCAGTCTGTCACTCAATGCTATATAAAACTATAAGGAACACACAGATCTGCCAGTGCCATCCTGGCAAGGGTTTCTCCCACTACGGACACCATCAAGAAAGGACTTGGAGGGATGGGCAAGCTGGAGCTTCCCAGCAAGGGCTGTGCCTCCGGCCAGCTGCATGTGGCACCCACCTAAAACTACTGAGTTGTGCAGCTCCTCTTTTGTCCCTTTCCCTCCCACAAACCATAAAGGACAAGAACATGTGGATCCTCACCTCTGAGTCCTCATCTGACCAATATGGAAGATCGAAATCAAATGGTAGCCAATCCCTAGAGAGAGCAGAACTAGAAGAACATGCAGCCATTTAAACATGGAGCCATTTATTTCCTGGGCACCAAGGGTTGCCACTGAAGAAAATGTTGGTACGTAAAACATCCCCTATTTTGATTTAGCAATATCTCAGCCCAACAATACAATCATTCCCAGAGCTTTTACATATTGCAAGCATTTCAAGCCATACTGAAGAAACATTATGTAATGGCTTCATGCACAGAGAAGAATGGTCTCTACTGGATTTTTTTGGTTTGTTTTCTTGGTTTTTTTAAAAATTGTTTCTCTTTCCATCAGGCCACTCTATTCCAATTCTGAAGTTTTGGCACAGAATCAAGCAGAACCCAAAGGCTTGGTAAAAAAAATCAGTTTTACCATATATCAGAAATTAGAGTTTAGAGAGACACTTTCTCTCATGCATACCCTTCAACATCTCTTGGTTCCTCTTCATCATTGCTTGCCAGTACATCAGCTGAATTCCCTGCTGCACTGGAAACATGTGGGTACTGCTGGTTCTGCTCCCTGTCCTGCAATGGGGTAGAATGGAGACAGATTAGGAACCACCTGAACACCTTCCTCCTCTGTTTCAGGTCCCTAACTGGATTTGGGCCTAGAGCTGTTTCTTTCTCTCTTTCTCCCTCAAAAGGGAAAATTCAAATGTGATATCCATAAACACTCAATATAAGGTGAGCCACTGCTGAAGAAAGGAAACCACAACAGGCATTGGAAGGAAAGAATTCCAGTTTGCTGCTCTGTTGGCACCAGGCAAACTGGACTTGGACTATGTGCAGTCACTCAATGTTATAGAACTATAAGGAACACACAGATCTGCCAGTGCCATCCTGGCAAGGGTTTCTCCCACTACGGACACCATCAAGAAAGGACTTGGAGGGATGGGCAAGCTGGAGCTTCCCAGCAAGGGCTGTGCCTCCGGCCAGCTGCATGTGGCACCCACCTAAAACTACTGAGTTGTGCAGCTCCTCTTTTGTCCCTTTCCCTCCCACAAACCATAAAGGACAAGAACATGTGGATCCTCACCTCTGAGTCCTCATCTGACCAATATGGAGGATCGAAATCAAATAGTAGCCAATCCTTAGAGAGAGCAGAACTAGAAGAACATGCAGCCATTTAAACATGGAGCCATTTATTTCCTGGGCACCAAGGGTTGCCACTAAAGAAAATGTTGGTACTTAAAACATCCCCTATTTTGATTTAGCAATATCTCAGCCCAACAATACAATCATTCCCAGAGCTTTTACATATTGCAAGCATTTCAAGCCATACTGAAGAAACATTATGTAATGGCTTCATGCACAGAGAAGAATGGTCTCTACTGGATTTTTTTGGTTTGTTTTCTTGGTTTTTTTTAAAAATTGTTTCTCTTTCCATCAGGCCACTCTATTCCAATTCTGAAGTTTTGGCACAGAATCAAGCAGAACCCAAAGGCTTGGTAAAAAAAATCAGTTTTACCATATATCAGAAATTAGAGTTTAGAGAGACACTTTCTCTCATGCATACCCTTCAACATCTCTTGGTTCCTCTTCATCATTGCTTGCCAGTACATCAGCTGAATTCCCTGCTGCACTGGAAACATGTGGGTACTGCTGGTTCTGCTCCCTGTCCTGCAATGGGGTAGAATGGAGACAGATTAGGAACCACCTGAACACCTTCCTCCTCTGTTTCAGGTCCCTAACTGGATTTGGGCCTAGAGCTGTTTCTTTCTCTCTTTCTCCCTCAAAAGGGAAAATTCAAATGTGATATCCATAAACACTCAATATAAGGTGAGCCACTGCTGAAGAAAGGAAACCACAACAGGCATTGGAAGGAAAGAATTCCAGTTTGCTGCTCTGTTGGCACCAGGCAAACTGGACTTGGACTATGTGCAGTCACTCAATGTTATAGAACTATAAGGAACACACAGATCTGCCAGTGCCATCCTGGCAAGGGTTTCTCCCACTACGGACACCATCAAGAAAGGACTTGGAGGGATGGGCAAGCTGGAGCTTCCCAGCAAGGGCTGTGCCTCCGGCCAGCTGCATGTGGCACCCACCTAAAACAACTGAGTTGTGCAGCTCCTCTTTTGTCCCTTTCCCTCCCACAAACCATAAAGGACAAGAACATGTGGATCCTCACCTCTGAGTCCTCATCTGACCAATATGGAGGATCGAAATCAAATAGTAGCCAATCCCTAGAGAGAGCAGAACTAGAAGAACATGCAGCCATTTAAACATGGAGCCATTTATTTCCTGGGCACCAAGGGTTGCCACTAAAGAAAATGTTGGTACTTAAAACATCCCCTATTTTGATTTAGCAATATCTCAGCCCAACAATACAATCATTCCCAGAGCTTTTACATATTGCAAGCATTTCAAGCCATACTGAAGAAACATTATGTAATGGCTTCATGCACAGAGAAGAATGGTCTCTACAGGATTTTTTTGGTTTGTTTTCTTGGTTTTTTTAAAAATTGTTTCTCTTTCCATCAGGCCACTCTATTCCAATTCTGAAGTTTTGGCACAGAATCAAGCAGAACCCAAAAGCTTGGCAAAATCTCCTGCTATGTATCAGAATTTAGATTTTAGAGAGTCAATTAATCTGTAACATACTCATCATCAATGTCTCTTGGTTCTTCTTCATCTCCCCTTGCCAGTGGCTCATCTGATGTTCTGGAAAGATTCAGCTGCTGCTGGCTCTGCTCCCTGTCCTGCAATGGGGTAGACATAGATGCCCTTAGAAACAACTGAACACTGTACTTCCTGCTTTCCCATTTCAGTTTCCTAATTGCATTTAGGCCTGGAGCTGTTTCTTTCCCTCTCTTACCCCCAAACTGGCAAATGCGCTGTGTTAGCCAAAGATATTTTGTGTTAGATTAACAGTTGCTAATGAAAGAACCCCAAACCCAAACCATCTCTGGGAACTGGAGCTCTGGAGCTGGGTCATGCAGGCTCTGTTGAAAAGTTTGAGGCCTTTCCTTTGCAAAGGCTCAGGAATAATGCTGTCAGGAGGTACCCTTTATGTTATGCCTGCTGCATATTCTGCTTTGCACGGCAGCAGCAACACCCCAAAATTGATGGAATAAACTACACAGTCTGGATCAAGCGTTATTCTTTCAAACAGCAGGGGAAATGAAAAGAAAAAAAAGTGACATTTTTAAAGACTTCTTGGAGTAATAAAAATACACCTAGTTTCTACCCCAGTCAGCTGCAGTTGCACTTGGCACCTCAGTGACAAGAGCACCTTAAACTGATGTTGCAGCAAAAACACTTCTTATTTGGGAAGTCAAATACTTCCTGTCCTCTCCCTTGCTTTTTCTTTAAATTACTGAAGCAACAAGCTCTTTTAGATTATTCTTACACTCCCTGCAAGTGATACTCAAAGAGATAGTAAAATGCCAGAAGACAGGCCCAGGAGCTCAAGAGAAACTAATCTGAATGCAAGATGGAGAGGAGTGTGCCATTCACTACTTACCATAGAAGACTCATCGTCACTGATAGTGATGACTTCAGGCTCTGAAGATTCACCTGGGAGATGTATGACACCTTCATATCTGAGCTGTATGACTTCTTCCCCTGCGACATCTATGGCATTTTCGTCTTCACCTGTGAGATCTATGGTGTCTTCACCTGTGAGATCTATGACGTCTTCACCAAATGAAAATGAGAACATTAGAGTCAGATCAGAGATTGCAAAGGAATGAAATGGGCTGCCAGTGTGGAACATGCTGAGGTTGGATTAACTGTGCTTTAGGTCTTTTTTTTTCAGGAATATGTCCAAAATTTCACTCAAGCTTTGCCCTCAACAGTGCACAGGGAGCACAGCTGGCCCTGCCCTCTGAAGGGGCAAAACAAGCAGAAGAGCAGCTGAGCTCCTCACAAGTTCTATTGGATGACAACAGATTACAGGAGGTTCACATCAACAGATGATTCATTTCATAGAGGGGAATGCTTAACACAGAGTGGAAAAAAAGTCCCATCAAAACTGTAATCATAGAGGGGATCCTAATTTTAAAGTATCATGCTGTACATATTCCCCTGAAGGATGGGCCACAGCTAATGACAGTTTCCTTATCTTCATACAGCTTGGGACATCTCAAACTCAGCCTGCCACCCTCCACTGTGGCAGCTGCAGTGACTGCCAGCTCATCAGAACACACGTTCAGGTGTTTGAGCAGCACGGGAGGACCTTTCCTACACAGCTCATCTCCCACTTGCAGCCAATAAGAGCAGCAATACCAAGCAGCAGCAATGATGATCTCAGTAACAAACCAAAACTGTTGTCAGAAGGCTTGCTGTTTAGGGATGCCTCCTTAATCCCAAGGTTTCCCTTCCCTTCCTCCCCAGTAAAGGGCCTAGAAACTGGCAAAAGCACATGGCCAGATGGTCTTCAACCCTCCAGAAGACGCTTCTGTTCTTACCAGGCTCAAAAGCAGGTGTGCCCCTTTCCTCAAGGTCTGTTGGCTCTGTCTGAGAAGTTCCACCTGCGCTGGAGGGCAGCAGCCGGCTCCGTTTCCGAGCTGGTCTGGAATCAACTGCTCCTCCAGGGCGCTTTCGCTGACGCTGACAGGGAACAAAGCCTTAGCATTTTCTCTGCCACGAATATTAACATGGCCCTTGGGTTTTGCAACACCAATGACAGCACACAAGGATACAGAAGACACTCCTGCAAAGGCTGGAATACACACCAAATGCTGCTATGGGCCATTCCCACCCGAGCACATTACACCAGGGAAAAGACAGCACCCCTGATCTCCAATAAGCCACCTCCCCGAGAAAGAGCCTGTCCCAATGGCTTGAAAATGAGGAGACCAGTTCCCAATTCCAGCAGGTTGCTGCTCACACTGTAAGCATTTCTGCATTACTGCTAACACCCAGAAATACAAAACCTTCCCAATTCCAGAACACCAAGTTACATGAAGTTTTTAAAGGTTTCTGTTCCTCTGCATTTGCTACAATCTCTTGAAATGCTTTCTAGACCTACCCTGGAAAATGTTTCAAGAATCAGATTTGCAAAGTACTTACTGAGCTCATGGTGTTTTGTGATCAAAAGCAACCACCAAATAAGTGGGACAAACTCCAAAAAAGGAATGTCAGGGATGTGATCAATCCCTTCGGTTCCTTTAGGCAGCCCACTGCAGATTTTTCAGCCTGACAGAAAATTGATCACCAAACCTATTAGAAAAGCAGAGGCGAGATTATCCATTTGGATTGCCAGTTTTCTTGAACACTCCCATGCCCTAAGACTCCCATTCCCAAGTCTCCAGTTCCTGTCCAAAGCTAGAGGCAAAGTCCATGACTCTGGTACTTGAGCCCACCTGCAGCCCATCCTGCAGCCCAGCCCAGCCCCTCAGCATCAGAAGCCTTTCCACGAATCGTCTGCACTCACCTGTACGGTCAGTCCAGAGTTTGGCCTGCAAAAGTCACCAAATCGCTCTTTATTCCCTCGCGGGATGGAGAAGAAGGATGCTCTGCGTCTGCTGCGCAGCAGAGAATCCCTCAACTGGCTCAACAGACTCCGTGCCAACAGAACCTTGGAACCAGGAGTGCCCCTGGCAACCGGTGGCAACATTCCATGCCCAGGTAACTGATGGCCGCGGTGCTCACCCATGGAGTTCCAGAACGCCATGGAGGCACCTTGTGGGTCTCAGATTCAGTCAAAGAGAGAAACGAGAGATTCTAGCCAGGCAGAAGCCTGGGAAAGAGCTGGAGAAGAATGTAAATAATTCTTTATCTCTCTTGTTTTTCACATTGTTTATAGTTAAGTTCTAGCACTGTGCGTCAAGCGCTTTGCAGCAATGGTGTAGCTTGTTTTCACTTCAGGACCAATGGAGTTGGTCCTCACAAAGCTCTGTATAAAAGAGCAGTGTATTTTGAAGAAACTGGAGTTTTACTCTCAGCAGCCTTCTGGTCAGAGTCTCTTCATTCCCATCCTACCTCGACAGCGACAGCACCTCAGCCATCCCCTGCTGCTGCTGCCGCCCCCCAGGTCAGGCCGCTCAGGGCCCGGCCCAGCCCGGCCTGGAGCGGCCCATGGACAGGGCATCCACAGCTTCTCTGGGCAGTCCCTTCCAATGTCTCACTGCCCCCTCAGCTCTCCCAAACACCCGATCCCAATCTCCCCTTCTCGTCTAAAACCCTTCCCCTTCCCCATGGCTCTCTGCCCCCTTTGGGCACCGCAAGGCCGCAGTGAGGCCTCCCCGCTCCCTGCTCCTCCCCACGCTGGACAGCCCCGGCTCTCCCAGCCGGGCCAGGGGACAGGTGCTCCAGGCCCCCACACATCCCCACGGCTCCTCCGGCCCTGCTCCACAGGCACATCCTGCTGGGCTGGGCACAGCTGGGCACAGCTGGGCACAGCTCCACACGTGGGGCAGGGCAGGGGCAGAGCAGGGGCAGAGCTGCACCTCCCACGCCCTCAGCCTGAGCAACCCCAGCATCACTGGAGCCTTTCTGTGGCTAAAGAAACCCCACCACACCACACCTCCCCGAGTCAGAAAGAAATTTAAACCCTTCCTTAACCCTCCTTCTACTGGTTTATTAGTCCGTTGCTGTTTTAACTCTTATCAGAGTGTTTGAACTTTAACCCTAGTAAACAGCCATTAAAACAAAATCAAAGTTTGTTGGTTTTTTTTTCCCAGACTGTTGAAAGTCTAACAATTCAGTTCATTATTTCAAGTCTCTGAAGTCTTGACATTTTCAGGGGTCCAGTGCTCCTCTACCAGAGATTCCCGACAGGGCTGAGGAGTTTTGCTTTGCTCCTGGTTTTATGGACAGGCTTACAACGAAAACTTCTAAGTAACAAAAAAAAAGCAGGACAGTTAATTAAAAACAAGTAAGCCTGGTTATTACAGACAGAACAAGTGGAAGCCAAAGCCTCCGGCTAGTCCGGAGACTGTTTCAACAACTTAGTAATTGTATACCTAGGGGCATTTCCAAGGACACCAGCTCTAAGGAAAGACCCGGGTGTCACACGCCCCAGGCCTTTTAAAGTCTCTCTCTTCTTCCCTTATTGGGGCGCTCAGGATCCGTGCTGTGATAGGTTTCTTTTTCTGTTGCTGATTAGCCCATAAGTTGGCGCCGTCTTGGCCAATCATTTTGAGATTCTTACTTCTTATTGCTTGGTCTCTCCTCCAGTCTTAATCCAAGCTGTGGCTGTGTTCTACGATGCTATACTTCTAGAAGCTTCTCTGCCCCCCCTCCACAAAGATTGGCATTTCCTCCCTGGTTCCAGTCCCCTTTTAGGTATACACCACAGTATTGAGTTTTGATATAACTAATCACCTTACTTTGTACCCACAACATCCAACCCTGCACCACACCCTGTTAACTACATATCCAATTATAACTTGTTACTTGTATCAACAACATCCCTTTTTATACATACATTGTTAACAACATTCCCCAAAAGTTTTAATTGTTTTGTTTTGTTTTGTTCATAACACCTTCCTCCCGAGGCCCTGCTCCGCTACGGAAGGTGACAGAGCAGAAGGAGCAGAATTAGTATTCACTTTTCCTTCTAGCCACTCTGCCACAGGACCTGTGTTCAGAAGGAAGGGCTGCGGCTCCTGAGAGCAGCAGGGAACCCATCTCAGCCCTGCCAGGTACAGGGCTGCTCCTCTGCCCCTGGTCCCGTTGGGTGCTCTGGGGTGTGGGGAGAATGGTGGCAATTGATCCAGGGCTCTGGAGAGCACAAGGATATGTTCAGCTCTGCCTCTACATGAGGAGGCTGATTTCTTACAAAAGTTTCTCTGTTATTGCAATTCATCCTTTTGGGTAATTGACAACATGCTGGGTGTTGAAGAATGGGTGAGTCATCACTCGATGATCCATCCATTTGATGACTTTCAGTTTGGTCACGGCTTCTATGTTGCCCGTTTGTCGGATTCTGTCTCTGCGGTTGCAGATCAGGACGAACACACCTTGAAGGTACCCAGTGTACCCCAGTATCTGTGGATACACAAGCATACCCGCGCCCCGAAGCGATAAGGTCATAGGGACCTTCCCATTGTTTAGTGACTAAATTCCGCACTCGAACTTTTGCTCGAGGCTGATGTGCCTCGTCTGCAGCTTGCAATGAGAGATGATGATTTTAAATGACAGGGTTATTTGAATTCTGCTGCACTGTAAGATGATTGATGGTGTACAATGCTTTCTCCAACCGACTGTGCGGGGTCTCACCCTGCATTCCCCGTTTTTGTTTTTGAAGAATCCGCTTCAGAGTACCATGAGCGCGTTCTACAATAGCTTGGCCGGTTGGAGAATGGGGGATACCAAACTTGTGTGACACACCCCACAACTGCAGGAACTGCCGCACCTGCTGCCTTGCAAGGCAAAAAGAGAGCGTTTATTTTCTGACTCCAACTTTTATACTTCTCCAAAGGTGACAGTGGATTGGAGAGTGAACGGGCCACCTCTCCGAAGACATTGGACAAAGCACTAGTACATCAAGTCTCTCCACCCCCATGGAGGAATGCAAAACAATACGTTATTTACAGAAACTGTGTGGGAAAGTTTCCCAATAGAATGTAAACTCAGAAGGCTTAAGAAAACTCAAGAATCAGGGCGACAGGTAGGGATGACTTTTCCATTTTTTGATAAATCCAAAAGGAGATTTAATACTTTATGTAAAAATGCAAAGACACTGAAGCAATTCCAAATATACATTTAATAGATGAATATTTAAGCACTTTGTATTAATCCAAAAGCACTGATTATGAGAAATGAACAATGCAAATATGCTGTCTTTGTGGTCTGGCCTTCAAAGCTCAAAAAACCCCACTTCTCCTATGCCTACAGATCAATGATGAAATGAGCTGAAAAATGTGCTTTTCCTTCTGCTGACAACTATGCACTACAACTGAAACCAATGCTTTAACTATTCAGTTTCTCTTTGCTAATCAGTGTTTTTCTAGATCAATACTTTCTAAAAATTATATATATATGCACACAGAATGCTTTAATTCCTAACCCTATACCAAAATTTTAAAAGAAAATTGCCTCAGCTGATAGTGTTGAGCCATACTAACATCTGTTTAAACCTATTATAAAATCAGCTGAGTGCCATTTCATTACTTAAATTTACTTGACCATAAATCGTTTCCTTAAATGCTCCTTTTAATGAGAATTCGTGGCATTACATGTCACCCAGGCATATAGCTTTTAGAAAGACATTTATATAATTTAGTAAGACATTTCTGCTTACTGTCATTGCATCCACCAAGTAGCTTAAAGTCTAGCAAAAATGACAACCAAAAAACATCGGTCTAAAATTTATGGCCATCTTGTAATTAAATAATTTTATTTCTGTCTGTTGAAGAATTATCTTTGAGTTTAATTTTGACAACTCAAGTAGGTTTCATTAAAAACGAAAATCAAAAAACTACTTTATCAGGCTAATACTAATGTTTTTGTTTTTTTATTAATACCAAGCCACATAAAAATTACTGGGTACATTGAACCTTGTTTATTACTACCTCTACATAAATATGGCAATATTAGGCCATCTTGAAATTTGACTGAGGAAGCAGATAAATAATACAATAAAGACAAAAATGAAAAACCAAAATTAAGGATTAATGTCCACACAGAGGACCTCAGTTCAGTTTGGTCATCTGAGTTTTCTGTTTCATGGCACAATGAATCTACTTTCCCACTGTGTGGGAGGGGGTGTGGCTGATGGCCTCCCTGCTTTACCATGGGAGGCCACAGATGTGTAGTTTCCCGCCTCCCCAGCTGTCAGTTATCTGTTATCCCTTCCCCCTGTTCATGTCAATCATTTTGTACTCCTTCCCTCTGTTCCAGAAAGTTCTGAGTTCTTTGTACCCCCATTGGTTCTCCCCCCGAAACCACTCCTTCCCTCTATCCCGGTTGGCCGTTGCCATGTCGCTCCCGACTGACTCCACCCTCAAGCCCTCACCCGGTTGGATGCTCTGTACCCTGACCCTCCTTCCCTGCTAGTGTTATAAACCCTGCCCCGCCCCTGGTTCGGGGCTCTCAGAGCTGGCTATCCCTCTGAGCGGCTGTGTCCCTTCACTACCCACCTCACCTTCCCTCGCTGAAGCCCTCGGAAATAAAGTCTGCTGAGAGTCACCCGCCTGGTGGAAGTTTCTTCTCTCTACGACCATCGACGCCTCCTGAGGTCCTGGACCTGCAGCTATCCGCAGCGATCTGGGGAACCCTCGGAACGCGTTAAGTGGCGCCCGAACACGCTGATCCCTGCGCGGAGTCAAGCAGAGAGCGGCTCCTCGACAGCTTCGGCTCCATGATCCGGCCGTTCGAGGAATTCAAGCGCCGTTTGGACCCGGTTCCACGGGCGACCGTGCTTCATTCTACGAAGACCCTTCGGCTCGTGGGCTGCGGACAACTGGAGGAGCAGGAACAGCAGCTTTGTGGAAGCTCCCTCGCACTCCGGACCCGCAGCGCTTCCACCCCCCATTGAGGTTTCTTCTTTTCGACGGGCGTCCCGTTTGGTGAGTTTTCCGTGCCCCGTCTGGCACCTGACCCCGTCTCTTTTCTTTTCTGTTTTCCTTTACCTCTTTTGGGATTTTTTAGCCACACAGACATTATGGGAAACCGTATGTCTCCGGCTCGGCGGGATTTTTACTCCCATGTTAAATCTTCCCTTGTTCTGGGTAATATTTATTTTAAAAAGAGGGATCCTAAAGCCTTACTTAATTTAATTTTCGACCATCTTCCTGACACCGCGCAGGAAGATTTTAATTCTGTTCAGTTTTGGGGAAAGGTTGGGCGACTTTTATATGACTTACAAGTTAAGGGGAATTTTAAAGTGGGACCTTTTTTTCCTCTCTTTCATTCTATTTTTACATTATTTAAACTAAAACGGGAGAGT